AAAATCCAGCCCACCAGGCCGATGGCTCCAATTAGATGGACGCCGAAATAATAGGCTGGGGTTTGGCACCATCGGTCAGTTGACGAACAAAGCAGGTTCTTCCACAGAGCAACGACACCTACCGACAACTACCTTGAGCAAAAGTTTAAGACTCCTGTACTCGATACCCCCCAGCTCGTTGCGATCTTGCCTGGTCAAGTTATAAAATCGCGAGTTCCGTCCAATGCTTGCGCCAGTGGACAAGTATGGCATGTCGTCGGATGCTCGACGACGCCTGGTGAGCTCTCTAGAGATTGAAGAAGGCGTCGGCTCGCTGCCAATAACAAACAGGGACGATGCGAGAGCGGCTGCCCGATCTATAGATCTTGATTCGCGAAGGGGGCCCAGGGTCTGAAGGCGATGTTGCCCGTTGTCGTCTTCTCCATACCTTGTGAGTTCTGCGCGATGGTAAGTAACGTCGTCGTGCCAAGGGCGGACTCAATTACGTCCTACATGCCTTCTTTGCTTTTCAGTCTCGGACCAGTCAGCTCCACCAAAGGGTGTCCTGTCAGCAAAGTCAGATGGCTGTCATCCTGCAGCATCGTGTCAGGGCGGGTCATGTATCGTTACCGAGATCTCTGTCTCGTGGACCAGGGACGTATAATACGGAATCGCTTCTGGGATGCCTGAGTTTGTCCGCTGACGAGTCGAAAGAGATGTGCGGTGCACTTGCATCGATCGCCTCTTCCACAAACGAAGAGCAAGATACTCTGGCCTCACTCTCCAAGTCCTGATAGGGCCCCCTGATAGCATCGTTGTTGTCGGCAGCCAGTTGAACACCATCCTTTTCACTTCCTTTGCCAGAGGCTCTGGTTTCTGCTACCCCAGATGTATCTGGTGGAGATGCCTTGGGTTCTCCGTATTCCAAGCGAGAGTCCTCCTGAGAGTCTGTGCCTCCTCTTCTACGGGCATGAAGGAGAGCAGGGCCTTTGAAAACATGGCGTCGGCACTGCTGTAAGTCATCATGCATCTCGGTTGGTATGGGAGGTCTTACCAAAGCTGTTAAGGTGTTTGTTGAACCAGTAGAGTCGCACGACGACCACCAAGATGTTCACAAAACCCATCTGTGTGAATACAGTCGCAAAGTACAGGTATAATTGTTGATATAGCTTCAGCTCATTCAGATTGGCACTATGGACAGACACGAATGGTTAAACCGGGTCGGCCACGGAACCGGTCCCTCACAATATCGAAATACGATTTGGGAGCTCTCTCGAGGACGTACACGTTGAGCCCAGACTCAGTCGATGCACTTGAGCCCATAAAGTAGGCATCGATGGCAGATATGTTCCCGTACAAGTACAGGAATGGTATGGACAACAGTCCCATAACAAAGATGTAGGCATCTGCGACCAGTTAGCCATGTTTAATAATTTGACTAACCAAGGATGTTTTCTAAATAAGTCCTATTCGAAGACGGTTGGAATCGGAATATGAAGAGGGACTGCCAACGTACAATGTAAAGTAATAAAGTTTAGGGACGGGCACCGCATAGTAAAAACAACCCTCGGGTTTCGCAGTGTGATGGTAAGTGGAAATAAGGTAGGCAATAGTGTCACAAATCAACAAGCAGCAGTGATGGTACTGATCCTTTAAACGATAAGGAAGGGTAGCACGAACGGGGCAAGCAGTTCAGAGATATCAAAGCATCGGTTGCCACACTTATATGCAGCCCGTATCTCTCCGCGGAGTCGACTTGCTTGTTCTCATGGACTGACCAAAACAAGTTTTTTACCCGTGTCTTCACTTCAGATCCCTCCACAGCCTCTCACTCGCTTGTCTGGTTCAAAGCCGCATATCTACTAGAACATCTCATGCAAGGCATGCACACTGATGGCCCAGCATCGCGTTCAACCAAGACACGATGGCAAACAAGAGGGTTGCACCCAGTCGGCTTCGCAATTCCGGGGGACAGAACAGTCCGCTGTCATGGTGATCGCTAGAAATGAACATTTGCCGCGATATACACAGTCATTGTACGTGCGGAACATATCTCATTTCGACCCATCAGATACCCGGTTTTGTATGCCAACATGGACATGGAGCCCCGGAGGTGTGTTTGTGCATATTCAAGACATGCAGCACGAAGAAAACGAATAAGCAAACAACCCGACTCCGAGGACGAGAGGCCCATGTATATTTGCGGCACACAGCATGGCAGCAGGTCTGGTGACACGTCGAGGAGGTCCGGGCTGTTCGTGCTTGGACCCCGACCAAGAGTATCGTGCAGTGTAACTGTTGTTTCCCGAGATCTGTCTCCTCATCAGTCAAACTCTCTTATCTTTCGTGACTCGAAACTCATATTGCCCAGTCAACCTCAAACGAGTCAGCATAATCAGACGCTCCTCTGCCGTTTGTTAGGCTACAGAAGCTCACCAAAGCTGTGGAGATGGATTTAAGATCGGCTTTACCAGAGTAGCATACAATCCCAAGTTGACATGCTGTGCCGAGATTTGTTCCTTTGCGTCAGCCGAGTGTTCGAATTTCCCCTATCAAGAAGTGAGATCGTTGTCTCGGGCCGCAGAAGCCCTACATAAATTGGCGGCTCGATAATACACTCCCCGCGATTTATCTTCTTCCTTGCATCACAACCATCTTGTGGTTGCAGAAGCAGAGTTTTATTTTGAGAGTAAAAGCATGATAAAGCAGAACGAACACTGCCCGCAGCAGCAAAGACGCGGGAATACAAGGATCAGCGGCACGCGGCCTGATCTTGTAGTAATTCGCCCGCAGCCTTGTGCCGCGAGACATAACTTGCATACATCTCCAAGTAAAAGAGAAAGTCTCAGCTTTCTCCCCAGCAGTGTTTGAGACAATATCGACTCATATCAGTTGTTAACATGGCGGCAACTCCACCAGGTTGTTTCTACTTGATGGGAGTGTCGTAGTGGGAGCACCAAGTACAGGCAAAGCTTGGTAATAGCACAGTTTCCACCTGATGTGCCGTGTTGATTTGGAAGACCATTCCATGCGTTTGGATCGACATCATCCGCCAGTCAACTCGGCAGGGACCCGTGACAGTCACAAGCAAGATGCCGCCCGTGTTATCAAGCCTCATCAGCTTAGCCCTATGATGCTTGCTTGAACCCATGTACGAGATATGATACGTCAGAAAAGGACGTGATGGTGTGTGAATTGACGCCTCATCATCGGCTAAAAGGGGGGAGGATTCTTTAGCAGCATGACTATATTGATCCACTCACCTGCAGAATATGTTGAATCGAGTCTCTTCAATCTTCAATCGGCAAGTGCCCAATCAAACGACCAGAGCAACAGACATGACTTGCTGCTCAGCGTGTATTGAAATTATCGTGCCCAGTCAGTTCTCTGCCGCTCGATGGCTTTGCTGGCACAAACGGAGGCGGGAGCCCCAGCGAATCTCGGCCGCCCACACTCAACAAAGTCAGGCTGGTAACACTGGTTTTGCCACGACCGTTAGAGGAAAGCGATCCAGGTCTCCATCTCAGAAACGGCCTGTCAAATCGTAGGTCCGGTGTACCGTGTAACAAACTACCCGGGGTTCGGGATGCTTCTGTCTTTGAATCTTAATCCGCCTAGACAAGCAGGTGACTTCACCAGTAAACGCAGTGAAACCCACAAAAGACGCCGAAAGTCTCTCCGTACGGCATCGTGACTGGCGGCAAGCGACGGGCCAAACTCATTGACCAGTATCATACCGGCGAGCCAATGCCACCTAGATCTGCCTGCAGCCCCCCCTCCCCCTTCCTGTCCCCCGGAGACGTAAACGGCCCAACGGCCCAGCGTAGTCCTGATGTGACGAGCTGGCATGTGGAGAAGACAGAGTCGGCTCATTATCTGCCCATCTGATGGGTGGGCGCAAATTGTAGCATCCGGGAGAAGCAGCACATCGAGAGGTCACACCAGCGCGCCCGTTCCCTCCGGAAAGTTTGGAAAGTAAAAGACTGCATTCGGTGACGCAATAACGCCGGCAGAAGGCAGAAGCAGCCGGCGAAGGGGGCAGGCCGCCTGTCCACGACATGAAGAGGGAAGAGAGTCGGGGTTCGAGTCGACTGGGAGCGACCCCCTCTCCCCCCCCCAACAGACCGAAGCTTAGGAGGAAACCGAGGCATGCATCCGGCACGCGATTTCTAGTGGTTCGCTTCGAAGCTGTCGAGAACGATACAGCAGACAGCGTGGCGAGTTGTTCAATGCCCACGCGGGATACGAATTACTCGTGGTCATGTTAGGTCCGAGAATTCGAGTGACGCTGTGCCATTCGAAAAGCGAGCGCCTGCCGTGGCACATGGGCTAGAATCGGCAAAACGCCGCCACATGGCAAGAACGACAAGACGTTGACATCTATAATGCCCTAGATAGATTAAGCTAGTCAGAAAATAAAATGGGAGGCATGTAATGTAATTGTTATGCATTATCATTATTTAGCACTATAGCAATAAATTAAAATTACGACCCTAACCCTACCTACAACATTGCACAGCAAATAGACTACCTAGCTAGCTTGACTCAGATAACTCCATGATCCAGACGAAGGGCAAGTAAGACGTACAATTCGTGCCACAGCAACATAGATCAAGTCCCGCTGAAAGTGATACAATATATAGAGATATGTAAATATATAGATATCCCGTCTATCAATAGTAGTACAACTCGTGCTTTTTTTTATCTTTCCTTGGACGGGCGGGCCCCATCCCTCTGAGGCTCTCCCATTCCATCCACCCCAAGCATGTAAGCTCATCTAGCAACAGCCAACCGACCGCTCATGAAAAATTTGGCCGCATTTGTTGCTGCCTAGGTGGTCAAGCATAAACACAGAAGAAAGCAAAAACATTTAGCAATTGTTCCACGCGCCCTGCACTCCTTGTCGTCCCAGTTGTTCCCCTTTGATCTGTTGATACAACGGCAGGCACCTGTAATATAGCACGGTCGTCCAAATAAAATGAAAATTTCGAGGCGGCATAAAGAGTGCATTATCCCCTCATTTATGCATCAACCATGCCGTCTGCGATTGCTAGGCGTTGTTTGGCCGTCTTGGCTCGTTTCCCAGCCGCCTTCCCACGTCCTCTCTTGCCCTTCGTATCGCTTTCGGCAGGGGTTGCTGTGCCAGAGGCTCCAGCTCTGCTTCCGTCGTCAAAATGTCCCTCGCCTGTGCCGTGGTTAGCATTGAGTTGTCATCAGGCACACATATATACAACCAACGACGCAGAGCATTCTTACCTTCATGATACATGTCATCCAAGCTGGCGGGAGCTTCCGCTTTCTTGCGCTTTCCGCCTCTCTTCTTCTGTTTGTCATACTCTCCGGACTCCAAGAGCTCCTTCTCACGACGTTCAATCATTTCAGCCTGCTCGTCATCGGCCAGCCACATGGCAATATCGCGGTTGCGGTTCTCAGGTGCACGACGACCAGAGAAGTCAACGCTGGCACCACCTCCCTGGATAACGACACGTTGAACTTCCTCCTTTTGAAGAGCTCTCTTACGGATTCTCTCTTCAATAGTACCGCGGGTAATGAGGCGATAAACAGTAACTTGCTTCGTCTGACCCAGTCTGTGGGCACGGTCCATGGCTTGCGAGTCAATTGTAGGGTTCCAATCCGAGTCGTAAAAGATGACAGTATCGGCAGAGGTAAGATTGATTCCCAAACCACCCGCACGTGTAGACAGCAAGAAGATGAAGATTTCGGGTCGGGTCTGGAAGTCATGAACAGTGTCACGTCGATCCTCCAGTTTGGTAGAGCCGTCGAGACGGCAATACTTGTAGTTGCGGTAGGTGAGATACTCCTCCATCATATCAATCATGCGAGTCATCTGAAAGTACAGCAGGACTCGGTGACCTTCATTCTTGAGTTTGAACAGCAACTCATCCAGCTTAGCAAGCTTGCCACTGTCGGTAACAAATTTGCGCATAGAGGGGACCACGAATTCGGTGAAGCGCTTCCTCTCGCTGTCGGGCTTGGGGAGGAGGCTACGCGAAGGGTATAGCTCGAGAGGCACCTTTTGTTCAACAAGTGACTTCTCCTCCGCGAAAGTAGGACCGTAGAGAGCCCTACGAATGGCGGGGTTGAACATCATATCCTGGCGTTCTCTGACCGCGCTCATGCTGTTGCATGAAACCTCCACTGGGGGGGCCGAAGCACGAGATCGACCAGCAATCTCCAGTCTGCTCAGACCAGAGTCGTTGTAACTGCCGCGAGCAACATTCATAAGATTGTCGAGGATGCCTTCGGTAGTAATCTCAGCAAGAGGGCGGCGATTTTCTCTGGCGCAAATGTTGAACAATGCGTGCGCAGGAGTGAATGTCTTGTCCTCTCCTTCCTCGTCATAGATGATTGACATTTGGCCAATTCTATCGCTCTTTTGCAGCTCATTGACTGCCCGAGTAAAGAGGCAGTCATGCGTAGCCCTGTAAACGTCCCCAGCAGAGACGTCTGCAAAACGAAGCCAAGAGAACGCCTTTGACTCTTGCGCGTTCTCGCGCACATGGTCAGGGGACCAAATATTCATCATGTGGTTCAGAGCCTTGTTGCGCCATCCAGCCTTGGCATTATCCCTCGAGGCCTTGTTGAGACGACCGCCCTCCGTCCAGACTAACGACGGGAGCTCAAAATTGACCAGACTACGGGTAGAGTAGCCTGCAACAACGGTACTTCCTTCACGCACAAACGAGGCCGTTTCCGCAAAGTAGCCAAAGGAGTATGGAGCAGTAACCTCGGCGCGTTCAAACAGATCTGGATGATTGCAGACTTTTCGGAACTGCATGACCAAGTTCATCAAGGTGCCCGAATCCTGGTCGTCTCCCAGGGTGGCCTTTTCAACGAGGTCCATGATGTTGATCTGGTTCCGAAGATTGGTGTAGTAAGCTCGCTGTCTGTATGTGAGGTTGCAAAACACATCCAGTTCAATCTTATCACCAAGCTCCTTTTGTACGTGTTTCTTGACACGACGGAGCATAAAGGGCTTCAGAATCATGTGGAGACGCTTAAGCTGGTCTTCGTTGAGCTTTGTGTTACTCTGTGCATGAGACTCGATATCCTTGGAGAACCATTCGCTGAATTCGTCGTGGGAGTCGAAAAGGGACGGCATAATGAAGTGGAGGAGCGCCCATAATTCCTGCATGTTGTTCTGAATAGGCGTACCGGTAAGTAGGAGTCTGTTGCGGCAGTGAAAGCCCAACAGAGACTTCCATCGAGAACTCTGGGAGCTCTTGATAGCTTGGGCCTCGTCTAGAATCATGTACTGCCACCGCATCTTTTGGAAATATGCCACATCAGAGACAACTAGCTGGTAAGATGTCACACAGACGTGGAAAGCAGCGTCCTTGCGATATGTCGAGTGCTTCCTGTCCCAGAATTTACGCAGGACCTTCCGGTCCGGTGCACTGCCCCAGTAGGGGAGAATCTTGAACTCGGGAACAAACTTGGCAATTTCCTGTTGCCAGTTGTGCAACGTCGAGGCGGGTGCAACAACCAGGAAGGGTCCCCAGATGTCGTGTTTCTCGGCCAAGTAAGCCATGACAGAGATGGACTGCACTGTCTTTCCGAGGCCCATTTCGTCGGCCAGGATACCATTGATGCCCTGTTCGTACAGGTTGACCAGCCAGTTGAGGCCCTTGAGCTGATACTCCTTGAGCTGCGCGTTGATGAGCTTGGGCTGCTCGACTTCCATTTCTCCAAGACCTGTGGGATTCTGGAAGTTCATCTCGCCTTCTTCATCCATATCCAGGTCACCCTCATTGTTGAAGGCGCGCGCTTTCTTTTGTGCCTCTGCGATAGCATTCTGAGCATTCGCCATCGCAGCGGCCTGCAACTGGGTCTCGTCTTCATTGTCAAAGTCGAGGTTCTCAAAATCGGTAACTCTGTCTCCGACGGGGCCAGATGGCTCCGCAATGTCAAGCTTCTTTTGGGGTATTCCGTTGCTGGGCTGAGCAATGTCAGGGTTATCCGTGCTTCGCTCTACTTCATCGGTCTTGATCTTCTTTCCGATAAAGTGGGAGTACAGCTCGGTCTGTGAGATGAGGAAGTTGAGCTTTCTCTTCTGGCGAGCGGCTTCGCGGTCTGCTTCCTCTCGTCTGGCATTTTCAATCTCCTGCTTCTCGGCAGCCTTGCGCAAGTCACGCTCTTCACGTTCATTACGTTTCCAGAAGCCCATCATATCACGCATAACTCGCTTAGCACGTGCCTGCAGATCCTTGGTGCCCTTGTTGGTCCGTAGCTGCCATCGCTTGGCTTCCTTTGATGCCAGAATAGCCGTCTTTTTGAGGTTGGAGCCCTTTGTCGCGTAGGAGTCAACAGCCATCTTGAAAGTCTTGTTAACATCCTTCCGAGCCATGTCGCGCCAGATCTGCTCATAAATCTGATTGTAGCCCTTGGAGCTAAACTTCTTCTCCAGTTCAGACACCTCGTCCTTTTTCTCCTTGACAGGCTCCTTGCTCTCCTTTGTCTTCTCAGTATCCTTCTCCTTCTCCTTTTCTTTGTTGGATCGGCCCTTGATCTTGATTCGGACCTTGCTCTCCTCCTTGGGGGGAAGTTCCTTGCCCGCATCGAGTAAGGCTTGGGCTGCCTCGGCGGAGTCCTTCTCGGCCTTCTTCTGCTCCTTGGATTTCTTAAGACGCCCTCCTTTGCCTCTGCCCTTCTTGGGAGTGTCAGCATCTGAGGCTAAGAAACTAGACATGGTACCACCCTCCAAGTTGAGCTCCAGATTACGCGCTGGTCCTTTGATGCCCTTTTGCAAGATAAGTTTGGTCTGCTGTGCCTTTTTGCTCGCACGCTCAGCATCGCGCAAGTGCTTCTGGCGCTCGTTTTCATCTGCAGCAGCGTTCGCTCTGGCCAAGGCAGCTTCTTTGAGTTCAATAGTGACAGCCATGGACTTCTCGCGACGTCGCTTCCGCTGCATGTCCTTTTTGCGCTCCTTCTCAGCAAAGAGCTCCTGCTCGCGAACCTCATGAAGCGCCTGGTCGTAAAAGACGTCGTCGTATCGTCGCTTGCCGAGTTCTGAGTGGAGAAGCAATTTTTTAGCCGCGCTCTTGGTGTATTCATCACGTCGAAGACGTCCCTGATCAGCGTCAAAATCAATCATGATGCGTCTGCGCTTTTGGGCACGTTGCTTGTATTCCTGCTCGTCGAATTCGGTCGGGTCGAGGCTCGGTACGTCATTCTCAATCTGAATTTCCGAGTTTGAAATTTTCTTCTCCATTTCACTGGACCACGTCTTGGTAGCTTTTGGCTGGCCATTTGCTAGGCGCTTCGAGGTTGATCGAGGCTGAGGCGACTCCCTCTTCATTGAAGAACGACGTTTACCCTTGGGGGCTTCCGCGTCCCGTATGTCCGATGCTCGGCCTTTTGTTGGTCGTCGGCCAGGCTTCTTCCTCACTACTGACTCTGCTTTTCTGGCCCGAGTCGGTTCGGGTTCGCGTTCGACATCCCTTTCCGGCTCGACTTCAGTGTCACCGTCTTGCTCCGGCTCAAGGGGCTCTGGACTGGGGCCACGCGGCTCGGGTGCGGGCTTTGGTGCAGGCTCAGCACTAGACAGGATGTTGGAAAAGGACATGGGATCAGCCGATCGACCAGGAGTCTAGATTTGCGCTAGATTAGCATCCGAGTTTCCACCAACAGCTGTGCATCTGTTTGAGATGAAAAATGGTACAAACAGGACCGTCTTAATACCAAGAGATGGCTTACATTTGTCGATGATGCAGACACGGGTTTTGAAGGTGAGACCGCGCGGGGCTCTGATTTGATGATGGTTGACATGGTGGAGGAGCCGTTGGTGGTCGAGTTCAAAGTGGCTGCAGGTACATGTCTTTCTGAAGGCGAGGGGAGTTGGGCTGTGCGGCCCGGCGGACTGTGAGAGCCAACTGGCAAGCTCGGGTGAGAGTGAGATAGCGGGCTTCGCGGCCTGTTGTATGACGATCTAGGCGACGTGTAATGACCGTTGTTGTTGCTGTAGTATGAGGATGAGTGATGTTGGTCGGCAGGTGTCCGCTCGTAGGGGTGAGGGTCGCGAGCAGTCTGTGGCGATGGATTCAGATTAGTCCGAGTCAGAAAACGCGTGAGGCGAAACAAGTCGCAGCCATGGTGCCATTAACACGGGTGGTGTGCAATTTTTTTTTTTTTTTTCAGAATTGACGACACAAGGCCCCAGATGACAAAGTGTCAGATTGATATGGCAGATGACCACGACAAGGGCGGATCAGATGAAAGTAGTGACCTCTTCTATTGGGGGCTTTTTTTTTAATTGGACGGTCCCGTGTTGGTGCTGGGTGGACGACGGCAAGTGCAGTCGGAAGAACAAGGCAAAAGAGAGGGAAGGGGAATTGTTGGTTGGTTTGGTCAAGTGTTGAAATTTTGAAAAGGCAGGAAGCAACAAGTGCCGTGCACGAGTGAAATAAGGAAAAAAAGAAGTGGATTGGGCTCGGGCGACGGCTTACCTTTGGCGTGGAGTTCTGGGGCGCGTTGTGCCAGGAGTCGGATACCCTGCGCTCCTTGGTGGTGTCGGTCGTGGGGTCGTAGACTCGGCCTGATGCCGGCTTGTCGCGAGTGTGATGAAGGGATTGATGATGAGAGTCGGGCGATGAGGCAGGCGGCGGGTAGTAATTGGACGCCGATGACGCCGGGGGGTGTCGAGGCGACACTGGAGGTGCCCCGTGCTGGTGGTGATGATCGCGGCTACTCGACGTGGACGGGTTCGAGGACGTCGAGGGGGGAGGCAGCGGCGGGGGACCAGCAGCACCGGCTGGCGATGAGGATGAGGACGCCATGTAGGGGGACGACGATGCTACACGGCCGGCAGCCGCGGGTGCAGAGCCGTGGCCGTGGTGACGATGTCCGGTGCCGATGGCGTGGTGGTGAGCGACGGAGCTGTGGTGCAGCGGCGGCGACAGCCTCGGAGGCGATTGGAGGGGCGGGCTGGCAGCAGAGCCGTGGCTGTGGTGGTGGTGATGATGGCCGCTGGCCGAGGTGGTGATGCTGGCGTTGGTGTTGCGGCCGGGAGATGCAAAGGGAGGAGGAGCATGGAAAGTTGAGGCAGACATGGAGGCAGAGGCAGAGGCAGAGGCCGAGCTGGCATTGGCGTTGGCGCTGGCGCTGGTGTGGGCGCGGGCGTGAGCGTGGGCGGAGCCAGTTGGGACGGTTGGTGAGCGCAGGCTGAAGCTGGCTGCACTGGCGGTTGTGGAGGATGAATCCAGGTGCCGATGCGCTGCGCTCCCTGCATGCGCATTCATCACGTCGCGCGCCGCAGCGTGGTGCTGGTGTCTGTCGTGGCCGCGGCCGTGTCTGTCCATGTCGCCCTCGCCTTTGCCGTCGCCTTGCGCCCGCGGCAGCACCGTCGACCGGAAGCTGTTGTCCATGGCAGAGCAATGCGTCCCCAGCAGCGCGCGAGGTTTGTGAGTCTGCTGTGAGTCTATGTCTGCGCAGCCTGGCTGGCCGCGGAGATGGCGCAACCCGCGAGGGACTCCAGACACTAGACGGTCACAGCCAAGACCAGCCGGCGGTGCCTGGGGACTTGTCTCGTTTGTTCGGCTACGAAGAATAGTGGTCTAAGGTCACGAACCCATGCGTGCGAGAACGTTGACGTTGTCGCGCGTGAGGAAATCTGCTTCTGGCCAGCTCTGCAAAATTCGGCGCTGCTTGCTCTCCTCGCCCGAGATGTAAAGGCGCACGCCGGTCACGGCCAAGGATACCGAGTACAGCAAGTACCTGGGTATTAGATGCGAGACGCAAGATGGCTCACGAGAGTCAGGTTGGCATGGGCCGGATGAATCGCCCACGGGTCTCGCTTGCGAGTGACGCGGAGAAGCGGTACGCCGGTGATGTCTGGCGAGTCAATGTGTTAAATCCACTCCGGTATGTGAGTCCCAGGAATGATGTCTGGCCAAGGTGGCGATATAATGGTGTTGAGGCAGCCGATGGTCGAGGCAGGTGCGATGGGGATGGTCAAAGGATGCAAAGAGAAGGGGAAAGGGGGCAGGCGGAAAAGAAAATCACAGCCACTGATGATGCCCTGCTGGTACAGACAAAGCCGAGTTGTGATGGCGGATGATGTTGCAGCAGGGCACACCTGGGCACTTTGGTCTGGCGTGTTGGCCCCAAGTTCGCCAGGAGCCGACGCTGGACCACGCAGATGTATGTATTCTTAGCCCGGAGGATGGAGTCCGGAGTACATGCCTGTGTCTGCATGTAAGTACGGTCCAGCATGTACTTGGGATGTGTGTACCTGCCAGGATCGTGTGGAGCCGGGCAAGCCGCGCCGATGCGAGCATCTACAGGACTGCAGCCGAAGGGCCAGGGCAGCAACAGCAGTAGCATTGATCTGCAGTACAGAAGACGGAGCACGGGGTACGGGGTAGTGTACGTAAGTACTTTCAATGATACAACTACAAGCGAAAGTGACCACGCCTCCGGAGGGGCTAGAGGGCTGCGAAACATTCACTCAACCCCGAAAAGTGCACAGATATACTTGAGGCCTTTGCGTGTTTCCAACTCGTCCAGTCTCGTCGTGGATCTGGTCTATTTACTCCGTATCCCGGGCATGATTCGTGCGAGCGACGCGCCAGTGTGCGGGTGAGCCACGTCCCCGGTGGTGCGCATGTGGGTATTATCTCTGCCTCGAGAATGAAAAGTCAACTTGGAGCAAAAGTGAACGGGGCCCCGACTTGGACCACGACCAGCCGACCACACACACTCTCGCCCGCAACACCCGACGAAATTTTGCCCCCAATGGTTTGACACGCAATTGGACTCTACAGTAGGTCGCCAGATCCCCCTCCAAAGCCCAACACATTGCCGTCCATCCACCACGCCGGCCGCGGTGAAATGCCTCGCCAACGACGGCCATGCCGGCCATTTATAAACACCACGCTATCTTCTAAACTTGTCAGAGACATCGCCGGGGACCACCCGGGAAATAGCCTGCAGCCAATGAGCAGTCGCCCTCGGCTCTGACATGCACGTATGCGGAATCTGTCAGCGGGAGCTACTTTTGGTCCACGTCCACAGAGGTACTACTACTACTACTAGTAGTACCACGAGGCAAGCGCAGGGCAAGGCAGGTACCGCCCAGAGGGAACGCCGCCGTCAACGGTGTGCCGTGCCAGTGCTGAAGTCTGGCGTCACCCAAGGCCAAGTCGCCAGGTACAAGGTACCTCCAAGCACCCACCCAACCCGAGGCGTGGCTGTCAGGACAAAAACCACTGGACATCTGGCCCAAACCCAACGAGATCAAAAGAGTCAAGTCAACAAGCCAAGCAGCAGGTAATGATGCTAGTACTTGACTTTATCAGTAGTACCGAGTCTCTGTTGGTACAGGCTGCTGGCCCGGTGGTGAAGAATCGCACCCAACGGCCTAGTGTCACGTCCTGCACCAAGACGCAAGCGCACGCGGCCTTGATCAAACACAACATTGAAAGGCGTTGACATCTCGCCCCCCCTCCAACAAGAAATCACCTTGACACTTTAAATGTTGGTCGGGGAGCAAACTTGGCGACCCAAGTGCTGCCAGCGGCGTACAGCAGCCGCCCATGCCGTGGGACCGAAAAGCATCAATCGCTCCGTGTCCCCTTTCAGCCCCAAATCGCAGCGCCTGCAGTCAGCTTTCTTCCCGCCCTCCGCATTTCAAGGCTTCGGTGAGCCACGGTGCAAATCAGCTCCATTGATTTAAAGTACTTGGAGGGAAACGTGTGCTCCGTCCGGGTAGTTGACCCAAGTTGGAAAGGGGGAAGGGCGTGATGCTTCTTGACTCGAGAACTCAGCAGTCCGGCAAGGTTGGGCCTTGCGTTGCCGTCAGCATTGTTCATGCCGGCAAACCCGCCTGGCCAGCAACCGTGCAAGGATTGTGGCAGCCGCGCCTGCCATGTAACCCAAAACTCGTGCAGTAAGCAGTAAGCAGGCCATGTTGTGGTGTTTTCAAGAAGCTCCAAATAGAGAAGGGGGGGGACCGCCTGGAATCCAATCACCACCGTCTTTTTGGTCACGGTCCACTTTTCCCTAAAACACGCGAAGTCCACTTGGCCCAACGCTGAAGGTCAAGCACAAATGTTCGCCTCCATTGTTATTGGTCCTCGCTGCAAGGGAGGCTGCTGTTTGTGAAGCCTTATGGGAATCTCAACATCTCGTCTTCAGGGTTTCTGGTGTACTCCTCTCACAGAGACAAATGTCAAAATTCACGCAGATATTTGTGCAAGTCACATGTTTGCGCAGTAATTACGTATGCAACAAGTTCTTTTATGTAGACGTCTGCTATTTGTGCAGAGCGTTGGAGCTACAACTCCTCCAAAAAAAAAGAAAGGGGGGACAAATGAGAAATGTGCCAAGTCTATCCCGTAACACAAGCATCTGGTCATGAATGCATGCAACTCACATCTAAAAGGGTATCGCGGCCATGCCTCAGCGTCAATGCGGCGTTTCCTGGTTCACGTCATTCCTGATGACGACGCCGCCCGCCGCTATATATCATGCCGTCGCAAACCCCGTCATGCCATTTTCGTCATACCGTCTATGCCCAAGTATTCAATCTTATTTCCATTCTCAAAGAAACTAAACCCAATTACACAGCACCAGCTGAAATCATCTTCTTGCGCAGATAGTTCTTGTAATCGCCAATTGTGCCGTCCCATACCTGAATGGTCTGGTTTTCGCACACAAGAATTTGCTTGGCAATCTTGTCCAAAAGTCTATTGCAACAGTTAGTCATCGAACCTTTGTCAAAATGAAGTTGGCATTGGCACATACCGGAAGTCGTGGGAGACGACAACAACACCACCGCTAAAGGCGTTGATGGCATCAGCCAGACTGTCAATAGTGGGGATATCAAGACCGTTGGTAGGCTCGTCAAGCAGAAGCATGTTGGGCCCGTCAATGGCCAGCAGGGCAAAAACGATTCTGCTCTTCTGACCTTCGGAGAGAGTGCCCATCAGAGCAGTCTGCGACTCGCCAGTCAAACCATATCGGCCAAGCTGCTGACGCCAGAACTGGTAATCCTGGGACTTCTCCTTGTACTTGTCTCGTACAAAGTCGAGCGCCGACTTGGTGAGATCCAGCTGCTCAGCACTGTGCTGGGAGTAAAGTCCGAGCTTCAAGTGGGTGTGGCGAGTGACGGAACCTCCGGTGGGGGAAAGCTTGCCAGTCATGAGACGCAGCAAAGTAGACTTGCCAACACCGTTGGGGCCGACAAGGGCAGTTCGGGAGTCCATGTCGAAACCAAGGTCCAGGTTGCGATACAGGTCATCAGCTGGGTCTCCAGAGTAAGAGAAGGTGACATTGTCAAAGGACAAGACAGGAGGGGGTAGCTTGTCGACGTCAGCGAATCGGAAAGTGAAGACCTTGTCGGGAGTGACGGGCTGAATGAAACCGTCGGCCTCCATCTTGTCCAGAATCTTCTGTCGCGACTTGGCTTGCCTGACCAAGTTGGCGTATGTACCTGCACTGGCAATGAACTTTTTGATGTGGGCAATTTCTTCCTGCTGCTTGGTGTAGGCCTTCATCTGGTTCGTCTCATTCTCGGCACGTGTCTTGTGGTAAGAGTCGTAGTTACCACCATAGTACTGGAGGAGTCTGTCACGCATATCAATCATGTTGCTGCACACGCCGTTGAGGAAGTCCATTGAGTGGGAAACAAGAACGAGGGTACGATCCCACTTCTTGAGGTACTCTTCGAGCCACACGCAGGCCTCGAGGTCCAAGTGAGCGGTAGGGTCGTCAAGCAGCAACAGCGAAGGCTTCACGAACAGGGCCTTGGCAAGAGCAACTCGCATTCTCCAACCACCAGACATGTCCTTGGTCTTCTTGTGGATGGTCTTTTTGTTGAATCCGAGACCAGTGAGGATGAGTGAGGCACGAGTGGCAAAGGTCGAGGGGTCCATCTTATCCATGTGCTGTAGGAGCAAATATGTTAGCAGCCTGCTAATGAGGCACAGGTTTAAAGGATCCATACATCGTAAAGGTCAATAAGAACGGGGCTTTCGGGGCCTTCGTCCTCGAGGAGCTTCTCGGCAAGCTTGTCGAGACGCTCCAGTTCCATCTCGGCCTCCTTGACAACCCATTCCAGAGCGCCGAGATCGCTGGGAGGAGCGCCTTCGTTCAGAAGATAGATGTCAATGTGCTCGGGAATGGGGAATTCTCGGGCAGCAATGGCCTTGAGGAGTGTACTCTTTCCGCAACCATTTTCACCGAGGAGACCGTATCGGCGGCCAAAGGACAATTCCAGGGTCGAGTCGGTGATGAGGACGCGGCCGTGGAACACCAAGCTGGTGCTGGTTATTTTGACGTCCTTGCTGGCATGGGTCGATGACAAAACACCGGTGGTGACTCGATCCGAGATACCGTGCTTGTCCATCTGCTCAGCGAGGCGCTTCACCTCGTCAAGCTTCTCTCCAGAAGTGGCGGGGGCGTCGTCCCGGATAACATTGCCGTTGGCATCGAGCTCGGGCTCCTTGGCCTTTGCCTTGGCTCCCTTTCCGGCCTTGGTTTTGCCCTCGGCAGCCTTCTTGGCGAGTCTCTTTTCCTTGGAAGCGGAAGGAGGCATTTCGGCGGTTCGATTAGAAAACAACGACAAAGAACGGTGAACAAAAATTTAGAACAGCGAGGGGACGGTTGTCGGGTTCAAAGGAACGTCACGAAACCGAATGCCGTATGTCGTCGTGCGTTACTTGGGCACAGTAACACAAATGCTCGACTAGGAAATAAGTGTGAGTCTGTTCCGGATGAAGAAGAGAAAAAGAAAAGGGTTGAGCCAAGCGGCAAGACAAGTGTTGCACTCCCAAGTCGTAGGTTCCGCTGGCAAAAGCCGTCGAAAAAGATAATGGAGGCGGGGTGGATTTTTGGATGGTGGGGCGCAGCCAGAATTTTTTGGTTCGATAAGACAGACTCTGACTCTAATGATACATGTCAGGCATCAAACTAAGGCATTAACTAAGCCAGGGCACACAAAATTCCTTCGGCATCGCCACTGGGGCGGAAGTTTGTTTCAAAGGGGCAGGGACTACGGAGTAGAGGCATGCTATTTTCTGTGCGACTTTATTGCAGTGCAAGGCTCAATGGAGCAGTCATTCCAGCAGTTCGTATTTCTGGTTGTATTTACGGCTGCACCTTTTTGTGTACCACGACTGATAAATTTTTGGTGGGCGGCAGTTACGACGGCTTGACGTCATGTTGTGCCTTCCGTTCTTGCCCGATAAGATTTGATAAAAAATTTTGCCACCCTATTAGGCTCGCTACCCTACAGCGACTGTGCATGGTCGCTGGGGTGGTTCCAATTCAAGCACCCGAATCTGCAGGACTGTAGAATTTGGAAAGTACACAAGCAATCATTCTATTATTTTTATCTAAATCAGTAGGTCGTGACGGGTATAGAACTGGTTTGTAGTAGACAGCCGCAAACGTCGAATTTGATGCCCAGGGCCACTTTCCAATTTGGTTACTGTCAATTCCAAACAGATAACTTCCACAATTTCCAGACTCGCAACGAGCAAATGAACAAAGTGCCTTTGGCGCACAGCGTCTCTCATTCTTGTAGCCTCCTCATGATAAGTTCCGCTGGAACCACCTGAGGCTGTGCCTCTCCCAGCGTGCGTCTCGCCAACTCCTCCGCGCCCTCGACGTAACCAGGATATGGCAAGGACGTCAAGGTTCTCGACAGATGTCTAGAACAACGGCCGTTTGAATGCACCAAAGCTGAGCTTTCTGAATTCTGTGGTCTCGACCGGTATACGGATGGATCTGTCGACTTGTCGGCAATGATGCCTCGTCTTTGAGTGTCCATGTCCTCTGGGGTGCGTTGGCTTGTTTTTTCTTTGCGGTTCTGAGTTCGACAGATGCAAGTGTGTCTCATCAGCGACAGAAAGTCACAACTGCATCCTAGTGAGTACTGCCGTCCTTTGCTTTTTTTCAATCGTTGGGTTGGAGAGCCTTACTGCATGGTATGTCCCATATAGTCCTGTGCAGCAGATCTCACCGCAATGCCCGTCATATCACATCAATGCTCTCTCAGCTGCGATAATTCCATATTGTACAGAACGCACGAAATGCCGAATACGTCTCCCCCCCTTGCGGAGCTAAATAGATTTATTTGCTAAAGCTGATGCCTAGAAGCTGCATTTTCGCATAAATTCAATCGCCCAAGGTGGCATCGTGCGGTGCCATGGCGCCAGGCAGCAGATTAAGCCATGTGCATTTAGATATGGCTTTGTATCACTGTAATGGGTACCACTGGAAGGAACAAAGAAAACAATGGCGTTTTCCCCCTATGCGGTACACGAAAAAACATCGAAACGATTAAAGTATACATGCAGTCAGTAGACTAGGCGTCCACGTCTGGATCTAGCCCGTCATATGCCGTTCCAGTTTTCAAATCAACATCCCTATTAGTTGCCACTCGCGGATTTGCTGCTTCACTCTGCTCAAACTTGGCTTCTGCAAGTCTGCCTGGATCGTTGATGGAACCGGGCTCGGATGCGAATGCTTTCTGGACACCATCTTGTACATCTTGGTTATCAAAACCACCTCCCTTCAGATTCTTGCCATGCGAGCCGCCCTTGTCCGAAACGTGTTGGCTGCTGACACATGACGGCGCGGATTCGGCAGTAGAGTCATCCGCATGGGAGCGAGGAATGGCTCTGGAGGAAACATCGCCGGGCTCAGCATTGCGGTTTTTGGCGAATTCGCCATCGGCTCTGTATGATTCTGCTGCTAGGGAATCGGTTTGAACGTCGCCGGCCGATTCACGCGTGACGGGGGCATTTTCCCCAGCGTTAACCTGAGCTATTAGCTTAAGTGAGTCAAAGGGGAGGATCCTGTTCGGCTCGTCCATGATATTACCTTGGTGCCTGCACTAGACCCTCCACTGCGAGTTTGGACCGAAGACATTGTGGCCGTATGGATTAGAAATAAGAATACAGTATGTTTGAAACTTGCCGATATTATGTTTCATTCAATACCCGCGAAGAATGATATACAACCTATGATATCTTGAAAGGCCTCCGAGATATATATATAGCGACTAGCCGTCTTCTTACATGACATCATGACGCATCATCACCAAGAGTCGCTGGCGGACAACACCCTCACGTAGCCAAACTGCTTACTGGTCAAAGCAGCCCCCAAACAGCCAGTTACATCATTTCCAAGTTTTGTAAGAAGATGTATGTACCCCACAGGGAGGAAGTAGTAATGGGAGATGTGAATGGATTGGCGATCTCATAATGTGTTGTCAAATCTAATCATGACTCTCACACTGGTCATTGGCTCTACTCGTATGCACTTTTCCCGCTCAACGCAGTAGATACCTAGGTAATTTCCCGAGCGAGGAGCTGTCGAATTTGTAACATTTCATGTACAGCAGGAAATTCAACATGGCCTGAAATGACGAAGAACTCATGGCCGTTGGCGTCCGAGACCGTTATTGTTGGGGGGGTTGCATTTGACGTGGTGGCGGGCGAAGTGTCCGGGAACTACATACAGAAGACGTCATAGAACGGTCGTTCGAAATGTGTGAACAGGATAAACAATGGGGAAATTTTGTTGACGCCACGCTGAATCAACGGTCCGCAAAGTACATGCTTGCAGTCATGTTGAGCCTCGTGATTGATTAGAAGCGGACCTTGAAGCCTCAAGGTGTTTGCATAAAGCCCAGATGCCGGCGAAGGGAAGCCGTCATAGCAAAAGAAAATCGAGGACTGTCAGAGGAGAATGGCCGAATTGTCGAATGTAGAATCCCAGTGCCTTATAAGGACAGCTTTCTTGCCAAAAACCCTGGCCTGTAGATGTACCATAACTCTGTAGATACTAATAATGTGATCAACCCTGATCAATCTGTCACGCAATGATGATCATTATCATAGGTTGAATCATTGAAATAGAAGACCCCGTCAGCGTCAACATGGATGTGAGTTTGCAATCCCAAGCTCCAAGTGAGCACGTGCGGGAAGCAACAAGGCAAAGGCTTGTGACAGGTAACTTTTTGCAACAACAGCCGCCACATTTATCAAGTCTGGCCCGTGGCCTTTCACAGCCGATCAGCAACGCGAAGACGAAGATGTAGACCTGGAGCTGTTCACGGGAGACCTTGGAGTGCATCGGTTGGTCGTATTGTGTCTTGGGGCACGCCACCAATTCTAGGCGCACGACATCCAGAGGCAACTGCCTTTTGACCATGCTGGAACTGGGGCCGAAGCAAAGAAGCATGCTGAAAAGTGATATATAATATGCGATCCACAAAGCTGGAGAATTCGACAATCCTCCCAATCACTGTTCAATCTCAACTATCTCAACTCAGGCGCTCGTGGCTGGGAGTAGCATTCTAGGGGATGAGTGCCGCAACGATTATACAGACGCAAGTAGATGGGAAAATGGGAGATCATCGAGAGCCTCGCCACAACAGCATTCTCCATACAACACACTGTATGTGGGACGATGATGGCCCAACCTTCGAACAAACGATGCGGCCCGTTCAACAGTGTGATGCTTGGTTTCTTGGCAACCAGGACAGGTGAAGCGGCAAAGCTGGCCTGTTATAAGCCTAGTGAAAACCAGACTGAGATTGCGGCGCGCAAGGATATATAGCATGGGCCCGGCGCAATGTGGATGCTTTCAATTTCTACGAGAATCGAGACGGGTTCGGCAGCGGATGAAGACTCTTAGCGAGAAACTTGGTCGAGGTAAATTGCAACCAAAGCGGCACGAGGGGTTGAGTTGCTTGGCAGCTTGAATAACATCGATAGTTGGCCAGGAGGCCAAATTTCGAGACCTTCTCGTCCGTCGCTTGCTGAAAGCCAAGAGTTGCGAGCAGTTCTTTATTTCAATAGAAGTTCACCACCCAGCGACTCGGCTGCAGTAGCTGGACCGCCAAAGGGATCCGAGGAACGGGTAACTGACGGTGGACGTCAAGGGATGAAGGTCGATCACTTTGGCTGGCGCGTAGTCTAGAATCTGAAAGAGAGCTAGACAAGCGGGCTCATCCTGACATCGGTGACACTTGACAAGCGGAGGAGATGAGAATGGCAAGTATGAATAGGCAGTGGGAACGGTGGCTATGCCCGGGACAAGTGAATGAATGCAGCTTTGTTTGCATTCGTTGGATTCTGACGGTTTCCACAACGAATTGGGCTACCGGCGCGAATCTACTGTACTTGCTTTGATATACGCATTTCGATCTTGGTATGATGCCGAGTTTGGACAGGCACATGAGTTGGAATCAGCAATATTGATGCGGATTGGCATTCTGCCCCCCATTGCACTGCCAGAATTGTGGATGGGGAGGATTTGCAGAAACTAACCGAAGGTCAACACACGGCATTTATTTTTAACTAAAAGGGGAGATGGCTCAGTGATGGGAGTGAATCTCTGGCAATACGAGCTTGACGCCTCTGCACTGCCATGCTGAATTCGGAGCAGCGTTTGGGGAATCGAGTGGTTGTTTCTGGAGAATGTGTCAGGCGAAGGTGAGGATGGCTCGACTGGCTCCAAATGCGGAGATGCTGGTCGTCCCATTCCTTCTGTGCTCCTGGGCATGCACTGGATGTATGTTGTCTTTGGTTGTTTTGGGAGACTAACGAATGCCAAGCTACCTTTGTCGTAGGCGGCTTGCACTTTTGACGCCGTGTCGAGGCAGAGACAGAGAGAGAGATGCGGAGGAAAGGAAGATGTGGTTGTTGCGAGGAAGAAGCCAAGCCCATCGAAGCCGCCTAGGCAGGCCCCACTTGGCCAAGGCTGTTCTGGTTCGTCTGGGTTGGCGGCGGACCTGCATAAACAAGCGTGGCAATGAGACTGACTGACAAGACAATGTCATTGACAGCAAAGTTGAAGGACGGAATTGGCGTTTCAGGGCTGACGCCCAAGGTGCTCAACGGAAAGGCGGCAGCAAAGTTGAAAGATGTCGATGCGAGAGGATAGGACGGACCGAGATGCTCTGGCAATGCCGTTAGTGTCTGGTTCTTTGCTAGCCACCCACCCAACGACCCAACGCGCGCCATTCAGACTAACTAGCATGGGGCATCACCTCCTTTTGGCCACCCGCCTTGAAAATTCATCAGTCATCAAAGTCCAGATGTCACCAATTGCCGCCAGGAGATCGCCCCTGGACCGATCATCACAAACAAGCTCGTCTGTTTATGTACATATGGTGCTGCGCCTCGCGCTGGCCAGGAGAAGTGGGGGCGATCAGAGGGCGTTCAGGGGGTTGCCCAGGGAGTTGTTCAGGGAAGAAACGGTGGCCCAGTGCCCCAGCCAGTTGGACGGCGCATGAGTTCCAGTGATGCAACTCTAAGCCTGTTCGGGGCACTGGGGGGTTCGAAGAGGCTGTGCCGCTACGCTGATGTCTGCTGTGGGGTTCGCTGGGGGGTCTAGCGCCTCACGCCTCCCGCCTGTGCATGTGGTCGGTCGATGTCAGATCCTACGGTAAGCGTTATGTACAGGTGGTCTGGTGTAAATAACCCCCAGGTGCCTTGTTTCATTGGCCGAAAGTCTGGCGACATAGGGGAGTTCCAGACAGGTGCCGACAGCGATTCGAGAGGTTCCAAAGAGAATTATGGGGAAAGGATGTTTTAAATTATGACATTAGGTTCGGTACAAAATATTAGAGGTTCTTCATGCCCAAATGTACTTCGACCTCCCCCTAATGAATAGCTCCTATTGGCTCTATGGCACTTGGCCCCGTGTGCCTGTTTTGTACTCCGTACCGGTGGCTAATAAAACACAGGGGTTTGCGCTGAACCGTGCCGTCTGGGTGGCCGTTCGACCCAGTCTGCTAGCCTGAGCCAATCAATCCCCGCGCTGGCCCCCTGGATATCCATTTGAGGGATTGGCGCCAGCCAATTTCCTTATTCTCCATCTGATGGCAAACCCCTGGCTTGTGGTCGCCGCCTCCTGTGTTGTTGGCTTGCCTTCTCTTTCGTTCCTTCTCCAACTTCACTTTGGTCAAAACCACACTCGTTTCCCGATCTCAAAAGCTACGGTTTTGGCTCTGAGGTCTCTTCTTCATCATCTTCTTTTTCTTCTTTTTAATACGCGTCTAATTTTTACCAATAGAGGTTGGCTGCCTCATTTGTTACGCCTTTTCTGACACTCCTTACCGACCATAGCAAGCTACAACAACTTTTTGAACTACATTCCTGACACTCCTTGGAAATACTCGTCAAGTTTTTTTCTCTTTTTCACATTTGCAACTGTTCAACCCGTAAAGAACAAGAGAACAAGCTTCCGCATTTGCAGTATTCGAATCCCGCCAACATGGGACTAGCTAAGCTTTCGTTGGCGTTCCTTGCCGTCGCAGGGAACGCCCTGGCCGCCGCCGACATTGAGCCCATCGAGGTCAAGGTCCGTTGACAGCATTGTTTTTATTACGCCTTAGAAACCAATTTCTGACAAAAGCACTTGCATCCATACAGGGCTCCAAATTCTTCTACAAAAACGGAACTCAGTTCTACATGAAGGGTATTGCTTACCAGCAGGAAGTCGGCGCCGGTGGTTCTTCTTCCTCCTCCTCCGATACAAAGAAGAACTACGTCGACCCTCTCTCTGATGAGACTGTTTGTAAGCGTGATGTCCCTCTTCTCAAGGAGCTCGGCACCAACGTCATTCGAACCTACGCCATCGACCCCAAGGCCGACCACAAGGCCTGCATGGAGCTGCTGCAGGATGCCGGCATTTACATCGTGTCCGATCTCAGCGAGCCCGACAAGTCCATCAACCGCGACACTCCTCAGTGGAACACTGCCCTGTTTGAGCGTTACACGGCTGTCATTGATGAGCTTGCCCAGTACCCCAACGTCATCGGCTTCTTTGCTGGAAACGAGGTTTCCAACGCTAAGAACAATACCGCTGCCTCTGCCTTTGTCAAGGCCGCTGTTCGAGACACCAAGGCCTACATAAAGAACAACAAGAAGATTACCAGATGGCTTGGTGTTGGCTACGCCGCCAACGATGACAAGGATATTCGCGCTGAGATTGCCGACTACTTCAACTGCAACACTGTCGAAGAGTCCATTGATTTCTGGGGTTACAACATCTACTCTTGGTGTGGAAAGAGCTCTATGCAGAAGTCCGGCTATGATCAGCAGGTTAAATTCTTTGAGAACTACTCTGTCCCTGTATTCTTTGCCGAGTATGGTTGCAACAACGACGGCGCTGCCAACCGTATCTTTGACGAAACCACCGCCCTCTACTCTGATGACATGACTGGCACCTTCAGCGGTGGTATCGTCTACATGTACTACCAGGAGGCCAACGATTACGGTCTGGTCAAGGTTTCTGGCGGCAAAGCCACCAAGCTCAAGGACTTTGACGCCCTGAAGAAGAAGGTCAACGGGGCCACACCCAAGACCTTGGAAATGTCCGAGTACAAGCCCGGTGGCAAGATGAACGAGTGCCCCAAGTTGACCGACAACTGGCAGGCTAACAAGGCCCTCCCTCCTACCCCCGACAAGAGTCTCTGCTCCTGCATGGCCAAGTCCCGTGCTTGCGTCCCCAAGTCCGGCCTCGCTGTCAAGAAATTCGGCGACATCTTTGGCTTCATCTGCAAGGCCTCTCCCGAATCTTGCGCCGGTATCAATGGCAATGCCACTACTGGTGTCTACGGTGCCTACAGCATGTGCAGCGATGAGGAGAAGCTTGCCTACGTTCTTGATGCCTATTACAGCAGCCAGAAGAAGGCCAAGGATGCTTGCGACTTTGACGGCTCCGCTGAGACCCAGAGTGCCAACTCTGACTCCTCTTGCTCCGATGCCCTGGCCAAGGCTAGTGACACTAACAAGAAGGCCGCCACCGCTACCTCTCCCATCGGCGGCGGCGGCAATGCCAAGGCTACTAGTAGTAGCGACAATTTTGCCGTTCATGGCGCCCCCGTTGCCCGTATCTTCGCCATTGGCGACTTTGCTGTGGGCCTCTACATGTTGGTGGCCCTTTGCGTTGGTGCTGGTATGGTTGCTCTGTAAATTGCGTGATGTATATACCTTGGTGGAAGTTGTTTTTGGAGCGTACATATTGTATGGTTCTGGTGTCGGATTCGGACTTTGTCAGCTGTCGTCTTCGGACTATTTTTGTATCAAGCATTGCTGTTGCCTACTTTCCGTGGCACAATAGAAATGAGCAAACCACTTATTCAAGGACGTGTCGTATTTCGTTTTCTCTTGTTTCGTGTAATGTGGGTGTCTATGAATGGGCTGTTTCACAGCTCGTGACAACGGGCATTTGATATTGGCTGGGATGACGATGTGGTCCAGCTGAAGCGGGGACCTGTCAACTCGGTGATACCACATCTGACTGAATCGGCCAACAACCACGACAGAACGATATAAACTGGGAGGAAACATTTACAAACGTATGCAAGGAATAAACTCCGACTTCCTATCCTCGCAAACGTAAATCGCGCCTTGAATCAAGCTTCTATGTACTTTGACGCAAGGCAGTAATATTGACTATTATGGCAGGCTCCTCTAAGCACAAAGTACGGAGTACACGAGGCAACGACCACATCACATGACGTCAGGCCGGAATGGCGTTCATCCTCGACGTCACACACGCACTGACACATCTTCATCGTCAATTTTCTTTCTTTTTCTTTGACGTATTTGTTTTATTTCGTTTCATTTTAGAAGCTACCATCTGCGGAGTGTGCTTTATCCGGCACCGCCACCCAAGACATCGTCATAGGACAGGCAGCTGGCCATGCCTTCCATGCCGCAAACTAATGGGGCAGACTCGGTGTCACTAGGTCAGCCTTCATTTCTTCATGACTTGAGGGCATTCTTGAAGGAGTGGATTCGATTGAATTGGATGGATGTGCTCCTGATGCTAACCATCGGCGCCTTGAGTATGTGCGTACGTGTCGACATGACCACCTTCACATCCTGGGTGTACCCATGTTAAAGCTAACACGAGACTGGTAGGTTTATTATGCCCCGATCAAGGTAGTGCGAACCTTTCCCATCACATTCAATGGCTCGGGGGATATCGTGTATCCCGAATGGGCCTACCCCTACCGCGGTTGGATTTTGCCAGCGTGGTTCTCGGGGCTGGTTTCCATCCTTGGACCTATACTTGTCTATCTGCTTGCCCAGGTTCGAATCAAGTCGGCTTGGGACGCCAGCAATGCCATCATGGGCACAATGTGGGCCGTCTCACTTGGGACGATCTTCCAAGTGACTATCAAGCAGCTCATAGGCGGATTCCGACCATACTTTCTTGATGTGTGCGAACCGGACATCTCCCTGGCAAGAAGACACAACAAGACTGGATTGAACGCGGTTGGGTTCCAGCAAGTCATGTACACCACAGAAGTATGCACGCAAACCGACACCTGGCGACTCAAGGAGGCGGTTACATCATTTCCAAGCGGCCATTCAACCGCGGCCTTTGCGGGTTTTTTCTTCTTGTTTCTTTGGTTGAATGCGAAGCTGAAAGTCTGGGCGGACCACAAACCGGCATTTTGGAAACTGGCACTGACAATGAGCCCACTGCTCGCAGCCGTCATGATAGCCTGCTCACTCACTATTGACGCCGCGCACAACTGGTACGATATAGTGAGTGGATCGATGATTGGCATCGTCATGGCCGTCGCTTCGTACCGGTCCACGTATGCCGCCGTGCTGGATTGGAGGTTCAACCATTTGCCGCTGCGGGAGACTGAGCCTTTCGGTTACGAGTGTGATATTGTGACGCAGACGGTTACACGTAGCGTCGGATGGGGGAGAGGTGTGCACGGTTTCAACGAGCCAGGTGAGCGCGACAGCCGTGATTTCTGCGGACATGATCCGACGGAAGCGCAGAGGAGCGACATAGGCGAGACAGGTGTCGGAGGCAGACCCACGAGGCGGGCTATTGCAAGGTCATATCACAGAGCTGGAGAACTTGGCACATGAGAGCTGAGAGGTGTTGCAACTATTGGTGCTTGATTACCATTTCTGGTGAAACGCCTGATACTTTTTTTTTTACGTTATTTACCCTAGTTGACACTTTTTTCTAGCTCCCGTCTCAGAATTTCTGTAACTCGACTCTTTGTCATCTCCCATCATGAACAATTCACATCATAACTCCAGTCTCGGACCCCTAGGCCATGCCCGGCTCACATCTTAATGGCTGGCAGCGAGAGCCGCCTCCCTCTCCTTGATGATCTTGGCCGCCGACGGCCGGCTCTTCAACTTGGCAAACCAGGCGTCGTAGGCGTCATAGCCCGACAGGTCCAAAAGGTCGCCGGCCATGCTGGAAACCGCCACGGCCCACGGGACAAACATGAGATCGGCGTAGGTCAACTTGTCGCCGACCAGATACTCGGTCTTTTGCTTCTTCAGGTGGGCGTCGATGACGCCCGTCACGCGGCGAACCTCCTTGGCGTAGCGGTCGATTGCCGACTGGAGCTTTTCGGGGTGGTACCGCGTGAACCAGATGAGCTGGCCAAAGTACGGGCCCTGGCCCGACATTTGGAAGTGCTCCCAGACGCGGGTCTGGTACTTTTCGGGCGTGCTGGTGTACTGGAGCTTGTTGGCGGTGTCATACGTGTCGATGAGGTAGTCGATTATGGCGCCAGACTGTGTGGTGTGTTGTTAGCACGGGGGGCCTGAGTTGTTGAAGGGCAATGTTGAAGTGTCCCTTTTTTTATTAGTACGTACCTCCCAGAGACTGATGCCGGTGTTGGGGTCCTCGAGGACGGGGACCCGTCCATTGGGGTTCAGCGAGATGAAGGGCTCTTCTTTGACTTGCTTGAAGTCGAGAAACTTGTGCTCGTAGGGGAGGCCGAGCTCCTCGAGGATGATGGCTACCTTCCACGGGTTGGGGCCGCCCGCGTGGGAGTGGAGGGTCATGGTCTTGAGGCTGGCCATTTTCGGTGATGGTTTACTTTTGGGGGGTTGGAGCTGGAGTTGGAGCTGGTGCTGGAGCTGGTTTGAGTTGATGGTGTGCGTGAGGATGGTGAAGTTGGGGGCGAGAGTTTTGGAGTCGTGGGACAAAGTCAATTGATATACTCGTCTCCAAACTATCAAGGTACGCGTACTACTTTAGCTTTTCCTCCAGTGACATGCAGAATCATCCAATCTCTATTGAGGCCTTCTCCACGCAAACCTCGAGGCGCTCGGCGCCGGGACTGTGGACATGACATGTAGCGCACGGCGCAAGTGGGTAGCTTACCAATCGGCCATAATGCTGATTAGAAATAAATGCCTAGTTCACGGCCAAGCGGTTTTCCGGCGCGGCCAGGGAGACTGGGGAGGGGGGGGGACGTCTGTCTGGGCTCAATGAAACTCGGCGACCTGACCCGGGCGGCTAACAAGCGGATCATCGCCGATGGTTGCGTCGTCTATTGCTGCGGTGATTCCTCATCATGAGAGAGGGGGACTTTGTGGGCGGATAACAAACAAGGCCGACGACATCGAGATTAGTCGGTGGATGCTGGCGGGCTCCGAGTGGGCGGACGCGGACAACAATGGATCAGCGCAATTAGGATAAATGATAAATGCTACAGAGTCATTGCCGCGCTAGACGACGAAAATATATAGCAGTCTAGTCCTGTTGGCGGCTGTGGATGTTCATAGTGTTGTATGTATGTACTAGTACTAGTACTAGTACTAGTACTAGCACTAGCAGCACTCCATACTAGCAGTACTCCATACTAGCAGTATTTCGTTGCTCGGGGCCGAGGGCCAAGGGCAGAAAGCGCTTATTCCCGTTTTGGCTGAAACAACTGCTCTAACCGGAACCAAGAGGTGGAACGTACATGAGGTCATTGTCTCCTCCCTCTCGGGTTCCAACTCGAGTCCCCGTGGAGGCCCGCTTACCGATGTGATGCTATTAATAAAAACTGCTCTGTGGTTCCCGGCCCCGATATCCGGGCCGCAAAGTTGGTCAGAATCATGTCATGGTCCGTCAGCAGCGCCGGCAGTGATTTATACCCGGGCATGTTTTGCTGCTGGGCCATTCAGAAGAGGGCATTGCGTACTCCTCTTTCCATATTGAGCAATGCATGTGCCCCCGACACCCGACACGTGTATGTAGGTACATGTACGTAGGGTATGTGCTTGAGTACAATTCAGACCCTGAATGTTTAGCACATGATAAAGGGGGTTGCAGCCAACATTGAACCAAGAGGAATTATTAGAAAGAGCATGCGACTCCATGTCGTGGGGGGGAAAGTACGTAATGGGCTAATAAAAATCTCTTATCAATACAAGTTATTATTAAAAAATTATTGCTCTTTTATCAACATACTTGCATTATGATTCATAGCTATTAATATAAATCAAAAGTGCTCTTATTACTAAAAGTGCCCCTATTCGCTCCCTTCAGGGGAGAATCCCCACAAACTTCAACTTGACTTGTCAGGTCAATCACTCATGGCTAAACTTACACGCGTTGGAGTGCTTGAATTGGCTGGCGGAGTGCTCGACTTGGCGTTGGCAGTGGCCTGATGCCAATATAACACACCAAGCACCACGCGAGATGAGGATACACAATGCAAAGTAAGCCCAAAGGAAGGGAGGAATAAAGCACCGCAGCATGTTCCGGTGGGATCCCACGGTCAATTAATACCGAGACCCATTGCATGACTGTGGCGAGCCCAACTTCATGCTGGACTGCAGAATCCAAAGACTTCACAATGGCAATCATCTTGGCTGTGTCCACTTTGGGAAATTGGACGCATGAACTTTATAAGCTTACTTTTATTAAGTAGTTTATAATCTTATAAATATATTAGTAATATTTCTTATATATTTATAAATAAACTAAAATATTATTAAAATAAGCTATATAAAGTATAATTAATATAATATTAAAATAAAATAAAGGTATTATAAAAACTAAAAGGTATAACTAATAATTTAAAAAGGCTAAAGCGTATAATAAATATAGTTTTTTACTTATACCTCTTAGTAATATATAATTTATTAAAAGTAATAATAATATCTAGCTTTATATAGTATTTAATATAATAAAAAGTATTTAAGGTTTTATAAATTAATAATAATAAGTACTTTAATTATAAATAAGTTAAATTTATAATAATTTTAATAAATATATATATTACTACTTGGTTTTATAGCTAGGAAAAAAGGTATTATATATTAAGTATATAACTTATAAATAAATCCCTTAAATAAGTTATTATTAAGCTACTTCTAAATAATAAGAAGCTTTTTAAGGGATAATAGGTAGTTTTTTTTAGTATAAAAGCTTTTTACTAGGAGTAAATTTAATTTTATAATTTTAATTATATTATAAAAGTAATCCTTTTATAATAAAAGAGAAAACTATAATATAAAGCTACTTTTTATTAATTAACTTTATAATATTCTTCTTAATTTTTTTTTATTTTTATTTTTATTTTTTTTTAATTAT